TGGCACCAACGCTGCAGTTATTTGGAAACCCCAGGTGATTGGATGAAGTTTTCCCTTTGTATTTGAAGGCTTGACATCAATTAATGCAACAAGAAAGTCATTAATTTAATAAATAATCACTGAAAATTCTCCCTTGCGTGGCCACTTCTAAATTTATCCTCAATTAAAGACATTCTTTTCTTTATTCATTTAGCTGTATTCATTGAGTACCTACTGTATGCTCAGCACCATGCTGGGCTGGTATTGCAAGGATGAAGATGTCAAAGACCTTGCTTTTAAATCAAGATCTCACGAGTAAAGATATTTTAACATTTGTTTCAGTATGGTTTTTTTCCCCTTAACTGGGCCCCCAAACACTCTCTAGAAATTTACTTTACCTATTTCCTAATGAAACCAAGCTTTTCATTATTTTATTAAGGCATTTGTGCTTGTATTGTCTAAATGGCACCAGTTTTCAAAATACTTAGGAATATTGTTTAGCTTGTTTTTCAGCACAAAAGATAAAATGTTTTAAAAACATAATTACCTTTTATCAGCTGTAGTAATAGGATTTATTTTACATATTTGTTTTATAATAGTATACAAACAAATGCTAGAAACAAAATATGGGTGGTTTGTTTTTTTTTAGTTAATACAATATTTTTTGGATCTCAATACTTTGGAGAAATGAGTTACTAGCATCTAACACTTGAAAGTATATACTACATTTCATTTGATAGACACCTGAAAAAGAACAGCCAATTTCCTAGAGCAGAATTAATATAAAATAAAAATTTTGGAGACTTTCTTTTTCTCTTTAAATTTTTATTAATAATTATTCTTAGTTTGCTTTTGGGAGTTGCAAATGTGTTTCAGTGTCTCCACATATAGAAAAATTTACTGAGTTAGTCCATAAATGCCCTCTTGTGACAGTCTCCAAAAATGCAACTGCCTTTTTCCCTATTTACTTTGTTTTTTCTAAAACAATTTAATATATCCAGGTTATAACTTTTCGATAGAAATGTTTTATATTTTACCTGATCAAATTAACTTATCTCTTTTTTAATAAGCTATGACTATGTCATGTTTTGAAATTGAGGCAGAAAACTTATGACAATACCATTCCCTGTGTTGGGTAATTATTGGAAAGACCTAGGAAAGATCTAATTCTACCATCACTTTATTCTACTTTGATGTACATGGTAAGAAAATAATAGATGCTGTGAAAAGATCCTATTTTCAACCTTTCTTGAGAACTTTTAGGGTCATAGCACCTTTCCCAATGTGATAGCTAAAAGATAAAGAATACATTAAATTAGCTTGAATCATTCTTTCATAAATTATTCATAATTTCTAACCAATTGTCTTTTATATTCATTGGTCATCCTGGATTTCCTAGAAGCAAATTTTACTATTCACATTTGGAAATGAAACAATTAATGAGTAAAGCAGTTAAATAACTTGCCTAGAGACAAAAGTTAGTGCATCACTGTATGACCTGTGAGCCAACATGTGGCTTCCATGGGCTTTACACATAACTGTATTTGAAAGTCAGATGTCAGTGAACGCTTTTCAAAGAGCAAGTGATGTGTACTTCTTAAAATTTATTTCTAAAACTTTGTTTTAGGCCAAGAATACTGAACATAATTTCAAAACACAAAAAGAATATTGAAAAGTGTTTTCTTTCCAAGATTCATTCTACAGAGGTTTTCAATAAAGATATAAACATGAAATTTCTTCTTAAGAATATGATATTAAAAAATAGAATATGCTATAACATAAAACTTTGAAATGACACAGACCTGTGTTTGGAAAAATTACTTGATTAAAAAATAATAATCTGTTTCTTATTCTGAAAGATGGGAATAAGAATAACCTACCTCATAGGGTTTTAGTGAGATTTACATGAGATCATGTATATATCAATTTCCTTGCCCTTAGTAGAAGCTTAAAAATTATAGCCATTATTATTAGAAAAACAGCTTAAGTGTGAGTTGTGGACTCAAAACACAATTTAACATTATTAAGTGGCTTTATTTAGATGGCCATATATCAATAACTGCTAATTCCTTATCTTTTAAATTTAAAAACAGTGTAATTATATATGGCATGCTTAATGTTCATAACAAATGAGAATAAGAAAATTCAATAATGTGAATTCTATTTATACTTTTATTGTTAACTTAAATAATTTATTTAAATTAAATTCTCTTGATAGCAAAATTGGCTAACAAGGAGCAGAGAGCCACAGTTTTTTTTCCTGAAGCTGAAACAATCTTGAACTTACAAAGTCTTACCATAACCAACTGGGAACCAGTTGTAAAGAATAAAAGTCAGTGATCTATGATGGAATTCAGGGGCATCCTGGACAAAGGAATGTCAGAGGAGAAACCAGGGAACTGGCATGCTTGTCATTCTCACCTTCAGGAGGGAAACCTTGGGAGCAACAGAACACTAAATCGCTCACAGTTTGGAAATGGACACAATATATTTTCCAGAGCTACCAATGCAATGTGATTTTCCTATTTGGGGATCCCTTGCAAATAATCATGTTTTTTAATTTTACAATCATATATGAATTTCAAACCAGAGTGCAAGATATTGAGAGAAAATAATTCTCAGTTATGATATGTGAAAAGGTCCCTCATCCCAAAAGTAACCTTTGACATCCTTTTTTTCCTCACTTCTCATACTCAATGTATTGCCATTCTTGTAAATTTTACTTCCTAAATACATCTTGAATCTTCCCCCTCCTCCCCACATTTACCGTTACCACCCTAGTTGATGATACCATCATCTTTCTTCTGGGTTATTATAAGAGCCTCCAAAACAGTATTCCTAATTCTACTCTGTTTCCCCATTACCACCCCTTCTCCCCCTCACCCCAAACACAGGCTCTGAATTCTTTCTCCAAGTTACAGTCAGGGTGATTTTTTTTTTTAACCACAAATATGATGAAATAATGCATTAGTTAAGAACTTTCAAACATTTTCTATGACACATAGAACCCTAACATTGCATAAAATCTCTGCCTGATCATCCTTGTCTACTTCTCCAATCTTGTGTCTAACCACTCCTCTCAGCAAATTGTGGGCCACATTGGCCTTTGTCTAGTCCCCCAAATACATTAATTTCTTTCCTGTTTTAGGGGTCTTCTGCACATTTTTCTTCTACCACGTTTTGCCTCTTCAGATCACTCCTCTTCTGATCCAAGCTCAGCTCAAACATCACTTCCACAGAGAAGTAATGCTACCCCCAGGACAAGTATTACATCTGTGATATAAACACACTCCTAGGACATTTCCTCCAAACAACTTATCACCGATTATACTTAAATGTTTATTTGGTGATGTGTTGATAAGTACTGGCTACTGGCCTCATTAGACGGCAAACTCCATGAGGCTATGTCTATCTGCTCACCACTAAACTCCAGAGCCTGTAACAGTAATTGGCAACTAGTTGGTGCTCAATAATTATTTGTTGAATAAATTTAATTTCCTGTTTTTCTTTCAACTAGAGAAACCATTCTGTGTTTAATCTTTCTTCAGGACAAATATGTGTTCCTGCAGTAGTTTCAGTCTTTTTCTCTTCCCAATTCCAAGCTGACCAGCTACACTTGCCAAACAACTCAACTGTCTCAATCCATTGGTGCCACCTGTTGGCCCTTATCTGCCTCATGCATTTCTCTCCATCTCTTTCCTCCTTTGAGGGGAATGAGTCCCCTGAAGCATTCTCCTTGCCCCTCATTCTCTCCGATTTTAAACACATAACCAGACTTAGCTTTGGTTAATCTCTTTCTCACACAAACACACCCATCCTTCTAAATTTTCTTTTTTCTATTTCTACTTTTGTTCAGTAATTTAGGAAAATTTCCTCCAGAACTCTCTCCTTCCCCACTTCCTCTCTTTTCCCTCATTCACCCTCTTCCTTCCTCCTTCCTCTTCCTTCCTCCTTCTCTTTCTTTCTCTCAGCTTCTTCCTCTTCCTTTTTCTTCATTATAATATTATACATGTAGAAAGCTATATTCAAATTCCAGAAATCTACTTTCCAAGTTTTAGCTTGTAATTATTTGTAAGATAGGACTTTCTAAAATACCTTTGGTTTATAAAACCAAGGTGGTAAGTATTTGCCCTATTAGCATCCTGATAAAGCCTAAAATTCTAACATTTTTTATGGTAATACTGTGTTTTAGGGGTAAACTTAGATAAATAACTTTAGCAAACATATAATCTCAGTGAATTACTGTGTTAGTAAGTAATGATTGATTTGTACCTATATGGTATTATATTCAGTGAATAATTTATTGTGGGCTTAACAACAGGAAAATTAACATTAAACAGGTGAAAGAGAAATGAGTTTGTTTTATAATTTTCAGGGTAGATTTATTTACTTCTTCACCCCAACCATATTGTACTTAATATTGCAATTTTATGATTATAAGTTTTTAAATTAGCTATATCTAGAAATAATCTAAACTGGCAAAAAGTTTGAATTTTAAGTAGTATTTAAATTCTAATCTTGAATAAATAATCTTTCTGGAATTACATATGAAACTCAACAACTAGATGTTCAATTGAGTGGAAACTTCCCTATGTAATTGGATAGTTTATAAGTACATTGATCATCATTGATAATAAAATATATATACAAGAGTTCTTGAATGTCAAAGTTAATTTTATGAAAATTATTTGGTGTGAGCATTGATTACTTGCCTACTCTAGCATAACACATTATGACATGTGTATTTCTTGAAACCTTTAATATACAATCACCTGGATATTATTTAAAATTTTACATAGGCTAACAATTCACTAAAGCAATTATGGCCCAAATTACTTATACATTTAGTACATGACAACCAAGAAGGGGAATTACATTTTGTCTAGGTTTAGCTTATGAAGTTAATTATTTCTGTAAATTTAATAAACATTTTAACACAAAGTGCAACATCATCCCTTATAAGTAAAGACAAACTCACCTACTACAGGGTTTCAGTTCAAGTTGTCAAATGTTTAGTGAGCAGTGACTTAGCATACTATGAAGAATATACCGATGAAGACAAAATTCCCACACTCCTGGAGCATGAGTGAACCGAGCAAAAGAACTGGAGATCTGTTTTCAAACAAAAAGAAAATGAAGAAAAAATGTTGGTTGTTTTATGAATATTAATCTTGCACAAATCAGAAAACCCACCTTTCAAGTCTTCTTGATTAAATCTCTAGTGAGGCCACGGGTCTAGCATTCTTCATACACCAAGTCTAAAATAATTATATATTGCTTTGGGTGGTATCATCATATTTTCAATAAACATTTCAGCATGAGTGTTATAACCAAAAGTTTGTAAATATGACCAGTAAAGTAGCCTTGAGAGGACTTAAATAGAGTGGGATTTATAGAAAATTTATGTTACCCTTTATTGATTAACATAAGAGAAAATTTTATCATGGTAAAAGTTCTGCAAGTAGCATTTGTATATTAAAGATGAAAAGGTCCAGTTCTGACATGAGTGTCTCAGTATATACTCTTTGTTTATGAAAATATTCTTTGATTTTATTAAAATAAGGTATAGTTTATGGGGATATAGTTAGTGATAAAAGTATTTTATATGTATAAATGCCTAAATTTCATTTTCTAGAGAATAGTTCAAATTTGATACTGTGTTCTTTACTACATTTTTCCCCACAAGAATCTTTCTTTTTTAGGCATAAAATTCGTTCTCTGTATAAAAGAGGAAAAAGCAAAACAAACAAGCAAAAGAAAAATCCTGCTGGACTGGCTAGAACATAAGATTCCAGGAGTCAAAAGTCTAGCCTTCTGACATGATTATGCCTCCATATTACACTGCTATGAAGCTAGGCTGCTCATCAATTTGACCAAAAGTTAAAAAGGAGACAAAACTCAAAAAAATGTGTGGTGTATGTTTGAATAATCTTTACATCAACTTGGAAAAATTTTTATCTCTAACATATTCTGTTAAAGTCAACTTACCGAAATATATATCTAGTGTGCCAGTATTTCTAAATAAAGCCTTTTTATATACTAATTATATCATAAAAGTGTGGGTCACATGTGCTGTAATATATCCTCCTATACCATATAGCTTAGAAAACAATATCCCAAGACTAGATTCTTTAGAATACCCTAATCACTGGAATAGTTATAAGTTAGTAGCCAGCAATTGTTAGTGTATAAATTAATGGAACAATAATATAATACTACATATATCTTCTAGAATATTACAGCATATACATGAATTTTAATTTCTCACTTAATTAGGAAATATTATTAATATAAGTAGATAATAAACAAGACAAACTTAAAACAGGGATCTTGATTTTCCCAGAAAACAACACAACCCAAATCTTGTCATTATGCTTATACTGACATATTTCTGTTTCTATTCCCATAATGCATCAGACCAATTTTTTCTGTGTTCAACTATTTAAAGTTTAGTATTTGTATCATATTACATATTTTGTGTTAAATTATGACAATAAAAAATTATATCTCAGATTAAAATCTTTGGATATCTATTAATATTTGCATTCTTATTATATAACTATTTTAATTTATGATAAAATATATTATGTATAAATTTTTCACATGTTATATAAAATATATAAATGTGCTGCTCTACTTAAATCAGGAATAATGAGTATTCAGACATTTATTTTAAATGATTTGTCTCTTGGGTAAATTGAGGTTTTACTACAATGCGAATTTGAGTTCATCTAAAACTACTGACCAACTTTTTGTTGAATTATATGCCATTAAACAAAAGTGAAGATAAATATTGAAAAGGCATACATATGCAGCTAACATTATTTAATCCTTCTCCAAATACTGGCATGTTTATCTGTTGAAATCTTAAAATTCTTAAGAATTTGAGAGGTCATTAATTCTGTCTTCCCTTCACCACATAGCAAATTCACATTGAACTAAACTGGACTGAAGCATTACTCTATAAGAGATTAACTTCAAAGGCTAAGCTTGATTAGTTACTGTTAAGTTTTAAATACTCACTTTCAGCACTCTTATAGTCAAAATGCTCCACCAATAAGTTTATTTATATGATAAATTTATCACATATGTGACTAAGAGGGTTTGTATAAATGCAAGTATACTTACATACTTTATGTTCATTCATTTATTCAACAAGCATTAATGAAGCATTTATTTTTTGACATGTATGATTTTTAAAATATTTTAATGTTGGGGCTTTTAATACATATTTACTATATTCTCCTTCAAAGTTTTTAAAGTACTCCAAACAGCTAAAAAATCTACTTTTACTTGATATATATTGATTGTATTTCATGTATATTTCAAAGTAGTGATTATAATAAATATTATTTACAGATCAAAGATTATATCATTTTATAATATTGTGGGTAAGCAGTTATGAAGCAACATAATAATTTAATATTATCAGAGTTGAACTCCTTAGACTCAGATACGTTCACAAATGTATACATAAAACTGACCTTGAGCAAAGTTGACCTTCACAATTGTCATTCTGTATTACTCACATATCTGTGTGGAAATAAAGTGAACACAGCTGATGCTACCAGAGAGGAAAGGATAGTTAACCTAATTACAGGGTATAATATACTTAAGCATAATAATTTTTTTGGTGAATTTTTATTTTATCCTTTTTATGGTCATGTAGATACGACAATAGCTTTCTTTGCTCTTAATATTGTATGTGGATTTTGGAAGTAATCATGAGAAAAATAAGAGAATTCACTAGGACTATACAGATATAAAATATGTGATTTTATTTCTCAAGAGAAAATAATAATATATTGAATAGTATAAAAATATGTGTGTATATATACATATATACACTTATATATGTATATTTTCCAGTTCATAACTTTAATCTCTAATCTTACATTAATTATCATATTAATTAATGGAGGGACATAAGTAACAATAAATTGTTAAAATCAAAGGAATTTAAAATTTGAGGTGTTACCAACCACAAGATAATTTTTTTATTTAACCAAAGTCATAGTAATATGTATCACATTATTTATAGTAAGTCTAATCAGTGAATCTTATTATAAAGATACCCGTAATTTCATGTACTTAAAGCACAAATGTGGTGCCATTTAACTGCTGACAAACCAGTTTTATTGATAGAAATAGCTTGAGTTGAAAGAAGGATCTTGAAAAGTTTACAGCTTTATTTTTTCAAGCACCACAAACTAATAAGTAAAAACATGTGAATTAGATAAAATACTTCATTAACTTACTTTTATTGGGTGAGTCAATGTGATATGATTACATTTCAGAGACATTTAATTCCCCATCATATAAATCACATTGATGTTTGCTTATATTTTCTCTTCTGGTGATGTAGCCATTCAAAGTATTTTACTCATATCAAAGCAGAGATATTATGAAGTTAAAACTAAAGTCATTTTCATTAAAGCTAATCATAAATTTTATTTTCTAAAGTGTTTCCCAGAGTAATCACATTGCAGGTCTGTAAGGGAGACTCTCAAAAGTCCTCTTGGGTCTTGGGTTCTAATTAGAAAGAATCCCATCAAACTTGGAGCGTTGCTGTGAATATAATCGAGAGAACTGAAACAAAAACACCCACATTTGGTTCATGAAGCTCTGGAAGAACCCACTGCACACATATATTAAGAAGGTATTTCTTAATGTTGAAAGTATAATTGGCCATTCATTACTTAGATGGCCAGCTCTACAGTGCCTTGCACCCATTTGTATAAGTTATGTAAATGTATAAATGCTTCCTTTGAAATGAGATAAAACTTGAATCATTACATAAACTGGTAAATGATAGTTGCTCGCTATCTTGTACACAGGTCCCTTTTTATTGGTTAAAGAAGGTAGGTGAACATCACAGATGCAAAATGTTTGTTGTTAAGAATGTGTGTTTACAGGTGTGGAATACCCTAAGGATGGGTAGAACTGATATCCTGCTGCAGGTGCAGACTTTAATAAACAGGAACTTGTTGTCTTTCCTCTAATCACTTCTCTCCTTTATCATGCTTTTGGATTATCTCAATTCACATTAAGTATCACTTGTGCATAAAGCATATACAGTGTACTATATTTATTTAGATATACATGTGACTAGATTTTCTGTGAATAAAACCCCAAATGCATTCACATGAGAAAATGGAGTGGCTTAATTTAAATATTTTAGGAGTGCTAGAATACTAATAAACATCTGGAAGAACAGATAAAACTAGATAAATGTTTAGCCTTGTTATGAGTAACACACTAGCATACGATTAGGTTTATAATGGTTGTAATTTAACAAAACTGTTGTATGAAATATTTTGTTTAGCATTCATTAAAAACTGTTAATGTAGTTGTGTTTTTCATGGACTAAATTTTTTGCAGCAGACGCACGTTATTAGTATAATACAAATATGCTAAAAAGCAAACAGTTTGGTGTTAAAATGTTTTAAGTAGAATTGTGGAGGGAAATTTTACAGCAATCTTTATTTTTTTTTTCATTTTTACAGGGAAAATTTTACCACAAATTCCGTATTTTAATGATATACCAACTCTATTTTTTAAACTCATTTTGTCACTGTTTTGTAACAGAAACACTGTAAATATTATAGATGTGGTAAACTATTATACTTGTTTTCTTATAAATGAAATGATCTGTGCCAACACTGACAAAATGAATTAATGTGTTACTAAGGCAACAGCCACATTACATGCTTTCTCTTTCACAGTAGGCAGCAGAGCATATGGTTTTCTCTTAATGGAACGCTAGCTTCTCATTAACATACCAGTAGCAGTGTCAGAACTTACAAACCAGCATAACAGGGAGATGGAAAAACTTATAAATTAGACCCTTTCAGTACTATTGAGAAGGAAATGACTGATGTTCTAAGGTACAATATTTAGCTAATACTGTGCCCTTTTCTGCACCTTCTTTCCACCAAAAAAAAACCTTTTTTCTTATAATAAATATAAATATAAATATTGAAGTACAAGTAATTTTTACCCTGCTTTTAAGAGTGATTGGCACTCTGATTTTGATAACTCTTCTTAAAAATAATATTTCCGTTTTGCACACAGTATGTTTTAAACAGCTGTATTTTCACCATCCTGTTTCAATACAGTAAAGCAGTTGAAATGTAAAGAGAATTTTCATGTCTCCCTAAAAAGAGGAAATCCATCAGGTAAACAAAAATGAGGATGAGAAGGAAACTATTTTCTGGAGCCAAAAGATGACCATTCCTGCAACAGAAGTGGAGCCGCCAAGAGGTTATGCTTGGTAGTGGAGGAAAAGAATCATTTTATGTCTCCATTTCACTGTGTGTAGTATAAACCACATGTAGCAGTCTCATAATAATTATGGGGATTTGAATTTTTCATCCAATTTTTTTCTTTATTTCAAGATTCTTCTCACAGAGAATTCAGCTATATTTGTAGAAGGAATATATCAATGTCATGTCTTAAGAGACATTTTAAAATTTAAACCTATACATATGGCATGGAAATTATACTTATATATGGATAACCATGACATGACCTCATATTCCAGGAATTCCATAAACTGAAGTTATTTTGGCCGTTTATACTTTAAAAATTTTCATAACATTTACCTATAATTAAAAGGTGGAGTGCTATTAAAAAGTAAAATATAATGTCCTGGGGAAATATCCTATGTGTTCTGGGTCACCAGAGAGTAAACTCCAGAAAGAAAGCAGATGTACTAATCCTCTGATAACCAAAACTCTAGAGAGAGAACAAAGTGGACTGATGGCTCTTTCCAAAGACCTTAATGTTTACACTAATTCAATTCACTGAATGGGAAATTTTACTGCTAGGAGTCTACCCACTTACTAGGCTCTTTCTGCGATGATGTTTGTAGATGTATCCCTTAAATCTGCAGATCGTGATGAATGACAAGAACCTCTTTTAAAAGAATGTCAGGAATATACTGATAATACCAAAATTACTTGAATCTTAACTATAAAAATAACAACAAGCTTTCTAACCATTATTATTCGAATAAGTAATCCATTGATATTTGTAGCTTTTTAAACGGATTTTTTTCTCTTTGGTGGAGTTCAAAATTTTACTGAATTTTGATAACTAAAGTTAGAATATTTGTGACTTAGCTCATTTTCTACAAATGTCTGAAGAATGGCCCAAAGGGCCGGGAATCAACAATATAATTATCTGTAATAAGAAGGTATCCAAGTAACCTTGTTCCCAGAGATATCATAAGCCTGATCTTACAGAGAGTTAACCCCAGCAATTAAAACTTCAGGACTTATTTCTTTTCCTTTGCAAAGAGAAAGATACTAATTCTATTCACAGAAAGACCTTTCTCTCTCCTATCCACCCCAGGACCTGACGATATGTTTATTTGATAATCATTCTCTTTTTCCTCCCTGCCTCAAAGTTTGCCATTATCTCCAACATGATTGCAAGTGCTTTGAAAACTAAGTTAATAATTATTATTCATTCAAGCCCAGTGTTATTAATGAAAACTATTAATTTAAGGGTGTTTCCATACTTTCTGAGTAGCAAGCAGCCAGATAACCATGGTCCATGTTGCAGATTTAATTTGTGAGTCAATGGATCCAGATTTTTCCATTTGGTAAGCAAACTGTTTTTTTTTTTTCATTTTACCAGTATCCAAGAGAGCCACAGGGAATAACTGGCTGCTTGGCATACCCCTCTCTTATCCTATAGATAATTTCTCTGTAACTCTAGAAAAGGGTGTGTGAAAAGTCTTCCCTCTCAGTGTGTTTTTCAACACCACGGAATCAGGAACATCTCTGCATACAGGTGTTAAAAGAAGCTTCCACCTCATGTCTAGCATTAAAACTTAAACTGATGGTTGTTATTCAGCTGAAGACAGTATCAGTGTAAAGTGTCACCGATCTGGTCACTATCTCTGGGAGGCTGCCAGAGCTTCTGCATTGGCATCATGGTGTCGTCTGTGAAGGAAGCCAATTAAGATCACAAGATAGTGGCTGGTAATAATAAACTTCTAATGATGTTCCTGACTGAAAAGAGGTAATTAAAATGTGTATATGGATGACCCCAGCTTCTGTCAGCTCAGTGTAGCTGTTACACTGACAATGTCTATGTTTTGTTTAAGAAGAGGAGTTCGTGTTGTCTAACAACAATAAAAGAAGCAATTTAATAATATAGAAAGGACTGCCTTGGAAATGCACACAGGTTTCAGTTTTGTTGCATCCCTGATAGAATTCAGTTGACTGCTGTCTCCTGACCGGTCAATAGTTTGTTGTTTTGGTTACTGACTCGGTAACATCTCCCTCCTCCCCACTCCATCCTCCCACCACCTGACTCCAACCTCAATATGAGTTTTGGAGTTGCTTGTTGTATTTCACCAGGACTAGGTCTTATCTTTTTCAGATGCTTCTCGAAATCAAAGACTGTGTTTTGAAAAGAAAGACAATTAATTAGATAGCAAAGGAAGCCTGTCCTCTTATCACTCAATCTGGTCATGGACATAAGTGCTTCACACTTTTTCCATCCCCTAACCTGGCAGCCCAAAGCTTTCCTGTACACCTGCTCAGCTCAGCTCATCAATTTTCTGTGAGCCAGTTAAGTTCCTTTAAGCCTGTCCACTGAGAGGTGGTGATAGCTCTCTGAGAAAAAGAAGAAAGAGAAAGAGAAACAGAATGCTGCTCCAGGCCCTTATCTTGATCACACTGTTTGTTTTCGCACTGATGTCTGTAATGAAACAAAGAGGATTTAATCGTGTTAAACAAAAGGCTGCTGGTACCCAGAGGAAACTCATTTAACTCTACTCCAAGTCTACGAGTTTCGGGTTTCTTGTCTTCCTTTTTGCCGATCCACCAGGCTGAGTTTCTTACCTGGGGCTTAAAATTGTGAGGTGTGAAACTCTTCTTTTGTTTTGACAGGTGCTCTTTGCTAAACATCAGCCTAGCCTTGATGGTGATAATACACAGAAGGGGAAAAAAACTTCAGAGACGCTAATGACTGTAGTTACCCAACTTCTGCCTTTCATGGTTTTTATTAGCTTCCCTCATTGAAGTACTTTAGGATAAAATGGGAAAACAAATTGGGCTGATGGGAGGTGAGTTGTGAAAGACAGTTGCTAAGGAGAAGACCCAGAAACCATCCACATCTTGGCATCTCAAGAAGGAAAGAAAAAGTGAAGAAAATAGGCCTAAGATTGCTCTTTATTGATCAAGGAGTTACTTGGCAGGACTGGCTGCATTGTTATTTGGTGGAAGAATAGGCTGACAAGTGACACCGATAACTCGACATTTGGACAAGGAGTCCCCAGACATGATTCACACTTTAGAATGCTAGAATAGTCGTCAAGACTCAACTGATAACTCTTCTCTCTTATACCCAGAAAAGAGTCTCTCTGTATGGAGAGTGAAGCCCTGACTTCATTGACTTGAAACCATCCTGGTATGTTTCTTGACTGACCACTCCTTCCCAGTGATTCGAAAATGGCTTTTCTGCGTTTGTTTAAAACACCAGTTTCCTTTACTCAGTCCCTACCTGCTGTCACATTTCTCTCTGTGCCTCCCACTAACTTTTTTTCTTTTCTTTCTTTTTTTTTTTTTTTTTTGCGGTACGTGGGCTTCTCACTGTTCTGGCCTCTCCCGTTGCGGAGCACAGGCTCCGGACGCGCAGGCCCAGCTGCCATGGCTCACAGGCCCAGTCGCTCCGAGGCATGTGGGATCTTCCCAGACCAGGGCACGAACCCGTGTCCCCTGCATTGGCAGGCAGACTCTCAACCACTGCGTCGCCAAGGAAGTCCCTCCCACTAACTCTTGAAGCACACTTACCTTGACATCACTCTTGAGGAGCGGAAACTTTCCCCTTCTGCAGACTCTGATGGATCTGCTATGCTAACCAGGCACTCTGGGGCAGGACAGCTGAATCACATTTCCCAATGATGAAGAAACCTGGCAATGTTGAGCTTTGTTATCAATCCAGAAAGCTCCACTGCTGCAAAATGAAAGAAAAACACCTTCTCTTTTTTGCTGTATAAAACCCCAGTCTTTCTCCATCTTTATTTAGACAGTGGTGATAGGAGTAGGGTATATAGACTTCTCCCAGAATAAATGCAATCTCACAAAAGGTTCATAGAAAATTATTAGAAAGATGGTAAGAATTCGTGGTTAAAAGTGGACCCAGACCACCTGGGCAATTTTGGGTAAAGTTGCTTGTGCTGCAGACTCCTCAACTTCAAAATATATATACAGTAGCACCAAGATCATGGACTATCATAAGCATTTAATTAATTCATCAATTAACTAATGTAAAATATTTTAAAGAGTCCTCAAGTCAGAGTTTGTGCTCAATAAACATTAACCATTATTATCTGCAGCTGAGTGATCTTCTCAAGTCAGGTTGTTAATTCACTGAGCTTCATTTTCTTCAATGTGTGTTTCATCTTCCAAGCTCTGGCTTCACTTGCTTGCCAAGGCTTTGGTGGAATTGAGCTTCTTTTTCTCATTTAGGAGGGCTCTGCCTCCTGTAACCATTCCTTCTTTTTAGAAAGCAAATCCTGAGTCTTCTCATTCAAGGTCTTAAAGAGGATGGAATTATATATTTAATTTCAGCCCTTCTCTTCAGCAAGAGCTAGGAGGCAGAGAGGCAATGAGGAACCTTCAGTTCTTCTTTCAGATCCTCACCAGTGACGATCAGCTTCACAAACGGGCCACATCTTCTGGTGCCTGCTCTGAAGTTAGCCCTACACAACCTTCTATGTCTTTCTTCCCCCTTTGCAGCAGTGCCCAAGGCAAGTGGATGGATCCTGATTATAGAATGTTGCTGCTGCTGCTGCCTCAAACCTGGAGTTTCCATCTTAGAGAGAGGGCTGCTCTTAGATCCGGGGTAGTTTTCATACCAAAGTTTGGTTCTTTTATTATGGCTTCTTGCAAATTAATTATAAACTGATACCTTTATAGAGGAAATAATTATTTGGTAGGAAACTGAGGCAGGTGAGAAGGCTTAGTAAAAAGGCTAATAACGTAAGTCGTTATTCTTTTCAGAGACAAGAAAATGATAGGCAAACTGCAAATATGGTTGATTTCTTAAAGCCAATACCTGGAATTAAGTGAAAGGACGAGGAGAGGAAGAAGAAAGGAAAAGTGGTAACCCTGACTCCTTCCAAAACAGGAAGGTACTCATCCCTTATAGATGCCTTTATCATGATCTTGACACAATAATCTGTATTTGCTTTAAAAATAACAGTTAACACATGAATAGCAAAAGGGGCATTCAAACACCAATTACCTAATTGGAACAATTCAAACTGAATGGGCCTGATGTTGAGATGGGTATTGTGGCAAGTAGTTTCTGTGCAGACTTCTGTTTAAATTCTTCTCAATTAAACTGTGAAACAAAACAAAACAAAACTCTAGGGTCACCTCTGAAAGTCAAAGCAATCAAAAAGAATATGTGGTTCTTCAAATTCTTTTTTTTTTTTTGGCTGGAAAATATATGTATCAATCCATTTTATTCCTTTCAATGTAATCACATTACCTATTATAGTTAGCTCTTTAATGCAGATTTATAGAGGGTTTTCTTACAATAATGATTCAAACTATTCTTTATTCACAAAATAAAGAATAATAAGAAAAATGTTCTTTCTGCTTTTTCCTCCGCAAATAAAAGTTGTCTGACTTAAAAAATCAAGTCTTGTCTTTGGTTTTTCTCTTTGCTACCCTGCACGTCCAGATCCAATGAGCTTCCCTTGCATTTGCATGTAAAAGGACTATACAAAGTTCACCTATGGCACACAAATTATTTTGTTAGGGTGCCATCTGCTGGTGTCAAACAACCAAAGACTTCTTTAAAAAAGATTAAATGGTACACATGTATTAAAACTAAAGACTTAGAAGTTGTTTGATTCAAATTATAGAATTATAGACTATTTTCAAGTGGTTGTCTGGTGCATAATTCTTAAACACTTTAGTATGGTAATATAAAATGTGACTTTATTCTAAAGTGAGGAAAATGGAGGCACCAGACATTGCCTTGACTTCCTGATTCCTGATCTGTTTCGATTCAAGCTTCCTTTTTTAGTTTCCATGGCTCTCCTGACTTTAAAAAATTCTGTTAAACTTTCCCCATAGAAAAGCAATTTAATTGCTGTGTTTGTGATTACATAGATTTCAACAGATAAAGTCTTAATTTACCCATTCACTAGGCTTTTTCTCTCTGCCATGGTATAAGATGCATAAACAGTTTTTTGCCTCATTATAAAGAAAGCTTATCAGCAGAGCCTTTATTATTCATGTTCAATATCAATGCCCACCCTACCTTCATAACAGGTAAGGCAAAGCAACTGCTCTACTCCCTCTCTTTTTAAAAAACTTTACCACTTAACTATCTGTGTGACCTTGAATAAGCCATTTAACCTCCCTTTACCTCTTCTTCCTTATCTCTAAATTTTGGATACTAATAGTAACTACTTCCAAAGGTTATCTATCCAGTTATCTTGATTGCTAAAGAAAATCACACCTGTAAGTTTCCTAGAACATTCCCTGTATCATAGCAAACACACAGTAACTACTAACTGCTTTACCATAGTTGTTATTTAAACAAATCAAAGAATATGGGTTAGTATCAACTAGAAAACCATTGCTTTACAGCAATTTTTGGGATCCTTAACTTCCTTCCAGTTGGGAGATATAAAATGTGTATGTATATTTATATTTTGGAGAATATGGACAGAATAATCATTTTCCTTACTTTTCTTTTCCCCCTTTTCTATGAGCGCTTAGCGGGTTTGAAATCTCAACTCCCTTAAATCTTATGTAAAGCCTTTCATGGTCTGACCTACCTACTTCTCCATCCCCGTTTCTCACTGTTTTCCAGCCATAAGGAACTTCTTCCAGTTGCCTGAGTGAGGCATGCTTTCGCTCTCCACAACTTTGTGCAGACTCTTATCCCCTGTGCCTGGAAAACCTTCCTGCCCCACCTCATCTTATCTCTCAGCTCTCCTGTTAAGAAGCCTTAAGGCAAGGATCAGATAATCCTTTCCTGGGCTCCCAAAACACTCGATACTCATCTACCCCACCCATAGCCCATCACATTTCCATAGGGTGGAGAGAGATAGGATCTAGTTTATTCCTCATTATACTCCCAGCTTCTAGAGCAGGGCGGAAGCCCAGTCTGGACTAGATAAACATTTATTACATAAGGGATTGTATAAGTGTGCAGTTTATTTTGGGGGAGTTGAGAGAGAAAGCATAAACTATCTCCTACCTACAAAGGTTAAATAAACTCTGTCTTAAGCAGCGACCATCTTTCTCCAGGTATTTTCATTAGGGCACTGCCAGTGTCACTCTCACTCATTAACACCTTTTTATTCATATACTTGCAGCAAAAATCAAGTACATATGATAAAAATGGATGTGATTGGGGGGTTTTTTTGGTATGCATGTAGGAATTTATTTTTAATTTCTATGTTTACAAATCATAAATATTATCTTTACATATCTTTATTTAACAATTATAATTTTCATAAGAATGTACGTGTATAACAATTTATTCAACAAGTATGTGCTGAGTGCCTACTATTTGCCTGGTACTCTTCTAGGCTCTGAGCAAAGCAGAAATTCCTAACCTCATTGAGCTTAATTAGCTCTATGTTTTTGCTTAAGTTTTTCTGTATCTGTCAAGAGAAGAAAGGAAACCCAAAGGATAATGCAGCACCCTGGGGCTCACAACAAGGGGAGTTGTTACCATCCCTGCCTCTGGAGGAAAAGGGAAGGAATAAGTAGTTTACCAGAATTCTAGTTCCCTCCTTCATTCTCCTGCTCTTTCCTTCCACAGACTGAAGCCAGTTGTAGCCCAAGGACAGGAAGCCCAGGAGAAGCAGGACACAAGCTCCATCTACCGAGCACAGAGCAGAGTCCAGAAGTGGCACGGTGGATCTGGAAGGACAGATGGAAAATATCCAGCACTAACCCTGACCAAGAACTTTAAAATTATTATTATTTAGTCTCTAAATCTTTTCTAAATACAGAGTCTTCTTTCAAATAATTGGCAGTTTTCATGCTACTCAGTCAGTGACACCTGTTAGAAATTAGGGCCTATTTTTATAAACCCATGCCTTTTAAACAAATATTAATGTTCTGTGTATTTGGAGACTCTTTTTTCGGTATCAGAAGGAGAGACTTAAGTAATCTAATATGAATGAATAATCTCATTCTAGATTGATTCTCTGAAAGTCATGTCAGAACTTTTAAAAGGAAAACAAAAAACCAAGAGGGTTTGAAATTCTATGACTGTGGAAGAGCTAGTGATAATGCCGATCATTTGCAGCCTTCCCGAGCTTCCCCTGGAGCTGCAGTGGAAGCAGGCATGACTTTGTGCCTTGGCTCATGGCCTGAGGAGGAGGCCAGGGGAAAGTTACATGCAAATAGAACAAGGGTTACTGAGGTCCCATGGTATCATTGAGGAGACCAAGATGTCTTTGTAAGGGTGGAGGTTCAATCTAAGTATGTCTGAAATCTGAAGGCACAAAAAAGCAAGAACATTGTATTAACCTTTGTATAGTACCACCCATTCTTCTGTCATTTGTTATACCATTTTCCTTGAAAATCTTACAGAATTTTGCCTTGCAAGGCTACTATACATAAGATTTGTGCTTTCATAGGAGGTGCTATTTTCAGTTACTTATAACTCAGGTGGATACACTTGCTATGAGGTAAACTTTTTTCCAGAATAACTTACTCAGTTACTTCTTCCTGAAACCCCAGCTTCTCACTTCCCTGTCCCCAGTTTATATATTAATTAATTAATCTAAGAGCTTGGTACTTAACACCAAGTACCATGTGTGTTCCATGTCGTGAGGGTATCAGCGTGTATGACTTCCTTCCTTCTAGGAGTTAGAAATCGAACAATATTGGGGCCATTAGGAATAACTTACAAGCTGGTACTGTAAAATGTTCACAGCATTGTTTTGTGCTTTTTTGAATTTGGATGATCATAATATTCTTTGTAGTTAGACCCTGACTCCTATAAAAAGTACAAAAACCAGGAACTTAAATGAGTCCCCCAAACAAACCCATATGTGAGTTTAGGATCTGTGCCATGCATCCACTCTCTGACAAATCAACAATGCTTGTGGGACCATCAGAAGCCTTGGGTTTTAGACCCAGGGGGTCCCGGGTCCCGAATGAGGGACATTCTCTGAACTTCAGCTTCAACTTCTGCACAGTGAAGGGCTAGACCAGATGCTTTGGTTCCCTTCTAGAATCAGACATCTATGGAATGCTACAGGCCATTATCTCTGAGACTTTTGACATGTTGTCTCTTTGGTTTTTTCATCTTCTGGATTAGACTCTATTTGAGGGCTGAGTCCTCACTATCTAGCACAGTGCCTACAAAATGCATAGTAGGACATCAATAAATATGTGCAGGACTTAATATCTTTAATATCTTGCTGCACTATATAAGCATAACCAGGTCTCTAGAACGATTTCAAAACATTTTGTAACTCTAGCATACTGCGATGTTATGTTTTCAGCTGCGAACAATGCACAACGATGTAGGTCAACAGAGTGCTTTGAATGTTTCAGAAAACTTGGCCAGGGTGAGAACTCTCCATTTGATTAGATTTCTGGAAAGAGGAGTCAAGTATATTTATCTCAATTGGGCAAAAGAACATGTTTCCATTTCATATCTTAGCTAAAATTTTATCTAAAAATCAGACACATGATTCATCTTTAACTAATACCCTTTTTAAAGGTGACCCTGTACAAGTGCTATGGACTGAATGTTTGTGTTTCCCCCCAAATTCATATGTTGACGCCCTAATCCCCCAGTGTGATGGTACTTGGAAGTAACAGCAGTGGCACCCCCATGATGGGACTGGTGCCCTAAGAAGGGGATGAAGAGACCAGAGCTCTCTCTCTCCACCATGTGAGGTTACAGCAAGGAGGTGACAGTCTGCAAACAAGAATAGGATTATCACAGGAACCAAACCTACTGGCACCTTGATCTCAGACTTCCCAGCCTCTGGGACTGTGATAAATAAAGTTCTGTTGTTTAAGCCACCCAGTCTCTGGTATGTTTGTTATAGCAGCCCAAGCTGACTTAGACAGCAGGAACATCAGGTTTGTTCGCAAGCAAAACAGAATCTCATGGTGAAGAATTCAGGTTGGTAATGGATTCCTTTATAAGTGCAATTAAGGAGTAAGAAAGCTAACAATATCATGATACAGAGGGACAGGATACTGACATCAATAGCAGAAATTACCAGCTCTGACAGCCCACAACCTTGACAGAGTGATTGGTTGGCAGAGATATTTCTAGTCCAAAGTGTTACACTTCAGGGTTTGCCAGACTGTGAACTTCCACGGTTGGACTCAAACTTCTCCAGGTTGGAAATTATGTCTTTTTATTGCTCGTCTACAAATTCCCAGAGAACATCAGGGAATGTTCTATAAATGCTGCTTTTCAAAAAATACATTAAAAAATAAATACATTCTTTAGTATTATCTTGATTGTATCACATCACACCAGGCAGGATTCAACTCTTGTTTTAGCTCACACTATTTACAGAGAATACACTACTTTGTTACACACAGTAAGTTTTCTTGAAACACTAAGAAAATTAATGTATGTATTAAGGTGTGTGTGCGTGTGTTGTTGCAAAGATGAGAAATCCAGTTACATCAGTTCAAGAAAAAATATTCTTATTTTAATGATATATTGGACTCATCAAAATGAAGTACAGCTAAATTATATGAAGTACAGCTAAGTTACATGTGATCTAGTATTGGGACAGGAAACTCTTTATGAATTGGAGCAGACACTTGCCCACATCTTGACTTTTCATATCTATTTGTTTCTCTCCAAGTCTCCTCTCTTCTTGTTCTATCTTCTTTCTGTATCATTCTCTCTCTCTCCTCCATCTTTCCCTGTTAATTCTAGCTGCTTAAATTATATGGTAGGTTTCCTACAGATATATTCTGTGAGTTTATTGTTTCCCTGGATTTAGGAATGTTTTATCATTGGTTTATTTCAAACTTCCTAAAACACATCCCTAATTATAATACTATTGTGGCAGGACACAAGCTTTGCCAGGTCCCAGAAATCTCCATCTTTGACTAAAAAATTTTAGTCTTAATTTCTGACCCTGATTCACATCAAACCTTTATGGTGAAAGGCAATGTCTCCAGCCCAGCCTTTGGGCTCATCCTGTCTACACAAGTAGAACTAGGGAAACTTCTATATTCCTAAGTGAGCGGTTCATTTTAGCAGAGCAAGGACTTAGTATCTTGAACTAGAAATTCTTAACCTTCAAATGCAGTATCTTATCCTGCTCTTATAGGCCACTAAAAATTGAAATATTTTCATTAACAAAGTAATCAAAACCCTAGCCACTGGGTTTTGATCAGATAGGCACTGTTCTTCAAGCTCCTCTCACATAGGTAATTACCACCTAGGGACTGCGGAATGCTAGTGAGATAACATATTACTTATTCCAGATAAATAGAAATAAATGTCTCTTCAAATGGGTACATTGTTATCAGCTTTAAAAAAATTTCAAACATCTATCAGATTCCCAAGTGAAGGGTCCTACCTCATGAAGTCTTCAGAGACCAATCATCATGAACATTTTCAGACTAGATGGTCACCTCTCAAAGGCTCCTTATGGGATCAAGTAACTGAGAGATCCAATCAAGGTAACTAAAAAGGAAAAAAAAAAAAGTTGGTCATAGTAGGGTGTTAATAAAGAAAAAAAATAAAATTAGAGTAGAAATTTCAAGAAACCAAGTTGGGAATTGTTATACAGATGAGTCTCATGGGAGAATGAAATTGATCTGAAGCTACTCTCTCCTTGTCTTTGAATGCACACTCTGTCTCTAGAAGGATCATTTTCTCTTCCTATCCTGGCTGTTATGTTTCCTTCTGAGCCTAAGCATCTATTGCTACCACTACCCTAAATTAAATTCAATAAAGAATATTTAAGTTAATTCTGTTGAGTGTATTCATGACTACCAACAATGTATTTTACCAGCTCTAAGAATGTCACTCAGGACTTATATTTTACAAAAAGTAAACTGCTATGACTATTTAACAATCATCTTCATTGTACTGGTGGCAGGAATATATTGTCTTGTCTTGTTTGTCTATACATCTCTATAGCCATGCTTAACCTACAATGAAACATCTACCTTAGTATTAAAAATTAGAAAAGATGATTTTTAAAAGTCAGTCTTACTTCTCCTGAGTCCATTTGGATGTTTATTCATAAGAGTTTAGATTTAGGGTTTCCAACTAGCCACATATTTCTGTAACATTGTAAGAGGTGACGCTATTTTCTGTACTTTTCTAAAATAACGTGTTTTTTTGTATTATTTATAAGAGCTACCCGATTTGAAGTGAGACCAAAGACAGAAAATAAACTTGTGTGCAGTATAATTTGTTTTGAACAGGAACATAGGAGTTATTGAATGCTGCAGTTTGACTTACTGCATATACGAACATGATTAGGAAACAATGAAAAATCATACACACTACTTTGTCATGGAAAATTAAGGTAGAACACAGGAAGCCAGGGAAATATGTTCCAGGTTTCATGACTCCTTCCATCACCACCTAACTCTTCTGGCAAGTTCTGCAAGAAGGGCTTTTCACCCTCTGAAGCAGGACACATTGTTTCATGGTCTTGGGAAAAAGTTGTATCACAAGTAATCAGTTGCCAATAATTACAGACATGTGTAATTGGTGTGCATTTGAAGGAAATTAGAGCAGATTTAAGTTTATCCCTATCGTGTCATTCTTGTTCCCAATTTGCATGCTTTTCTTGCATGGAAGGAAAATGGGTGGAGTCTCCAAAGGAGAAGGAAACAGCATTTATTGAAAACCTGTGCTCATTAAAAATTATATGAAAATGCATATGTAGAA